GAGAGAGAGAGAGAGAGAGAGAGAGAGAGAGAGAGAAAGAGAGCAACCAGAAAAGAGAATACATTACAGAGTTCTGTGTGACATTTTTAGCCGTTTTGAGTTTGACATGGAGGTCGAAAACCGAATGTTCTATCCACTCTATCAAATTCGTAAGATTATTCGAAGTCGTTATCAAGATATTCTAAGAAATTCGAAAAAGCTTGATATGCAGTGATTGGTTTTTTTAAAAATATTTACATCAGCTTTCTAAAAACTAGGCACTGAGCAAATAGAACTTTGCATATTTTGAAGTTATTGGCACAAGGTATAATCTTACAGCTAGCTGATTTGCTTTGCTTTTGATGAAAAGAATATCAGTTTATCTAGAACAGAAATTGAGATATTTGATGTTGAAGGCCACCTGATGTCAACAACAACAAAATGATCGTCACAGTTTGAGGACTTCCAAAGCTGTAGTGTCCCAAGGAAGCTGCAATTTTTTTGTGCCGTTGATCACCGTTTTTTCAGTAAAAATCTAAGGAGGGATGTGTTTTGTTTTTGCTTTAGTAGAGGTTTTACGGCGCTCGCAACTGCATAAGGTCATATGAGCGCCAAGGGGTGGATGCCAAAAAAGAAACTCTTACAGGGAATCTGGCTTACTCTGCTCACCTCTCTAGCTTCAACAGCACAACTTCTGCTTCGACTATCAAGGCACCCCGCAAATAGCGGGTCATAAGAGTGTGACAAACGTACAAAAGAAGTAGAGGAAAAATGACGATAGGGAGGATTAGGAAAGAAAAAGCAGTACATGTAGTTTTCTGTTGCAGTAGTTACGCACAGTTATGAGCATGTCACTGATGAGTCAGTCCATTTACAATTACAATTTTACTGTGCATAAGAACATGGTTAATGCCCCCCCCCCTTTTGGGAATGGCCTAAAGACACTTCAGTCAGTAGCACCGCCTGGGGTGTCGTGGTTAAGCTTGGGCCATTGCACGCAAAAGACGTGAGCTCGATTCTCGTGTGTATGTGTGTGCCTGGGAGGGGGGGGGGGGAGGTTTACAAGCCCTCAAAGTTGTTAAACCGAAAACGAAAACGAAAACGAAAACAAAAACCTGGTTTCGGGTGAAGACTGCCAAGATGACCTCTCCTCCTATTTCCGGTCTGACTGGTTTTCTCCACCTAAAGCCAGCTGTCACATAATACACTTGTGCTCCGAATTCCCACGTGGCCTAGAGGTACGGTGCTTGCGTCTCATTCAATAGGTCCCAGGTTCGAAACCTGACAGTAACGGATAATTTTCTTCTCTTAAAAAAGTATCCCTTTACGTCATCCTTTCTTGCTCTCAAATCATGTTCTGTCGTCTGTTTTCGTCTCCACTTTTGGCCTTCACCAACCCCACCCCCTCCTTGCCCCCTCCTCTGGGCTCCTGGCGCTTTCTGCTGCCTTTCTACGGCTACTAAATGAATCATTCTTATTGCTGTCTTTCAGCCACACCCCTAATCTTGGAGTAAGTAACATCGAACTCCTAGTCTTTTTGGATGAGGGCAAACAAATCTCGGAGGTCCCGTGTGCAAGTTGCGCGTGTTAATAAAGATCCCTTGGTGGTCTGGAAATCGATAAGTGTAGGCTCCAGCCGACACCTGGCCAAAAGTTCAAAATTAATTCTTACCAAACTGAAAATTAATTAATGGTTAATGAATCCTGCGCGCTCATACGACTTTCTGCCGCTTCAAAGGCCGCAAAACACTTACCAAAACAAAACAACCGAACTTGTGTCTCTCTCAGACCGGGATGGCCCTGACAGTTTGGAAGCACCCTGCCTCCTAATTGATCTAATTGATCTTACTTGTAGCGCCCCAGAGGTTGGTTTAACCCTATCCGTACGCCCTGGGGTCATTTTTTACCCCGGGGTTGTATTCTTCACATTTTAGAATGCTTCTAGTACGAAGATCTCTTTGAAACTTTCAGTATTTCACAAAAAAATAATAACAATTAACAGACTGCTATGCAAAGCGTACAGATTGGATGAACGAGTAAATTTCCTCTTTGGAAAGTGGTGGCACTGAGTTTACAAAGTCATATGGATATACGATATTAAAACACGACGTACGGATAGGGTTAACTTACTTTAATTAAGAAGGGAGACTTCAACTTCAAAAAGACCTTTTTCTTTCCACGTCCTTAGTTTCAGAAGGCACTTTACAGCATTTGCAACAGAGTTTCAATAAATGTATGTCATGACAGCGCCGAAAATTTAAGGTGTTACTGGAGAAGAACATGACATTATTGCAGAGAAAAGACCGAGGTGAGAGAAAGTAATACGGACATTTGATAAGAAAGTAAACCACACCAGTGCACCCGACAACCAGTCACGTTCCAGGTCGAAATCGTTTTTAGTGACGTCGGGAATTGGTTAGTTCTGGATTAATAATAGGTAGCATCTGCATAGCGCAAATCCCCGCTCAACAGCAAGCTCTGTGCGCTTCATAATCTATACTATTATCCCAGCAGATCTGAGAGCATTCTGAAACAACCTCAACTTCTTGGGAAGCATACAGTGCAAGCGGCAATTAATAGTCGCTAAAACACTAACATACTGACAAGATCTGTCGCTGTCTATGACTGGGTACCCATTCCCACCTGGATGAAGTGAGGAAAATTCACGTAAAGTGCCTTTGTCAAGGACACAACGTCGGGCCCACGGCTTGAACCCCCGAACTCGCAACCCCACGATTACGAGTCCGGTAGCCTAACCACTAGGTCACCGACGCCACCAAGCTTG